ATTCAAACAACCAATACAAATCAATTACTCAGTGGTAGCGTGATACATAAGATAAAAATTTATCTTGATTATCTTTTGGCATACAGGCACCACTAAAAATAAAATGTTGTAGGAAGATGCTATCCTATGATTCTATTTGATTATAGTCACATTTTCATCACGAACCAACTGGATTTGAGAAACCAAAGACCTCTGAATTTCAAATCTTACATTCACTGAGAAACGACACTTGAGAATATTGCGTTCAAAACGTTAAGTATGAACTGTATGTGTAGAATTCATTTATCTCAGCTACAAATTCATATTTATTAATATTATTACTGTTCAGGGTAATAAAATTATCACGATTTTTAGTTCCCGATATTGAATTTTCGTATTCACACGTCAAAATCTGCGTACACCTTAAACTCGTGTTTCATGAACATGACCTTTGCTTTTTCTATTGTGACACGTCACTTTCATTTGTCTTTTTCAAGATCACCACCTTCAGATCATACACATACAGATGTGTTTTAAAGAAATATTGCCGTCACTGATATATAAAAACAACTCATAAATATACTATATATACTCTTCCTATCTTAACATACAGTGGTGCATCGTTCAAAGTAATGTTATGCAACGGTTTGGCTGAGAATAAACTCCACTGTCGTTTGTCATTTCGACGCCGTACTTGGGAACCAATCAGAATGTCGCGGAAAATATTATGTTTCACCTCAAAGCTTTTACTATTTACAGTACTTACTAAAGGTTTACTTAAAGAAATCCGTGAACAATAGAAAGTTTTCTACGACAAAAATATCATTCTATCCTGCTACAGACGTATTACTCGTAGTGCAGTTACAATCATGTTGAAAGAAAAATTACAACATAATAAAAGTTACACCGATCAATTATATGTTAGAAATTATTCCAAAATTTGTACAATTATTTAGTGATTAAATGAACGAAAACACGGAAGTTATTAATAGCTAAGATACTTTTAGGTGATATGAGGACGTGGAATTTATCCCCACTCCAATGCTTTTGTTAGTTTACGAAAATTATGAAATATTAATCACCCTCTCCTTAATAAGTAACGTTCACGTGATAAACACTGTAATAAGTTAACTTCACCAATCCCGATGAAATAGTTTGGTGAGTACTGTAATAAATCACATGACTCCATAGTAGACCTTTACATGAATACATACATACATATATACTGCAATATGATCATGTTATGAAAACACACGAGAACGAATCGTTCACAATCAAATCCTTTCTACAGATAAATTGAACAAAATAATAGATGTTACACCTGGATAATATCCTCTTTTTACTTTAAAAGAACTTAATAATGATAATTAATGAAAAGTGCTTGATTGTACTTAAACTGTTGATGAGTAAGTTATCTGAATCAAATTGTCGTTTTCGGTGGTACAGTAATAATACAGTGAATTCATTCATCGATACTAAGAGTTGGGAATAGTTGTTTGTTTGCGTGGAGTTTCATTCTTGGATATTGTAATGACCTAATTCAGCAATACCAGCTCAATAGCTCAATTAGTTCCGACCATTCTATCCAGGTTGATTGAAGCTGGGATATAATGGCAAAAAGGTGTTTACCTCAGACAACCGACATTTGAAGTGATTCTGTCTTTAAAACAGGAAGAAGAGGGTTAGAAAATTTTAACCCTCAATATAGTGCTATATCATATTTCCGTGACCAACGGCAAGGTCTTAGAAGTACGGGGGCTAATGAGTCAAGAACCGCCAACATATAGGCAGTATCCAGTTACCTAGATCCTGTTCTCCGGTTGAAAAGATCACTACTAATTCAGTTTGTATTCAAGTACATCTAAAAGTATCTTTCCACAGAGTGGGCAACTGAAAAGTGAAAAATTTCTTCGTATCTCGTATCTCACCTTGATCACAATCAAACCTCTTCGGCAGAAGAGCTATTTGTTTTTTATCAGTATGGGTGGTGGGGGATGTTGAATTTCATTGAAATCATGAACTGATTTAAGCTAGACATCTATTGAAAACCTGTATGAGACTCAGATTTGCACATCCACAGCCCCGTCATTCGGGATTAGAGCTAAGAATCTTCACGAATACCTAACCTCCAGACTAATGAGCTAGAGTTTAACGGGTCCAACTTCAATCAATTCACGATACTAAACGACCACCTTTCAATGTCTTTGGTGGGTAATTTCTATTGATTTTTATAAATAAGCGATTGAATATTCTGTAGTTATTGAATGTATCTGAGAAATGATTTTTGTGAATAAAGTGATATGATGTTGCCTAATCAGAAACGCATAAAGTGAGAAACCATCAAAATGTTTCTCCTAGTTACTGAGAAATCAATCAAAATAAGAAAATGAACTATCTATTTACCACTATCTCCGTTTTGATCCTTATTTCAGCAAAGCAACATAGCCTATATATTTGATGAATATAAAGTGAAGAGTACACTACAAACCAAGTCTCTTGTCATATGTAATCTTTTTACACCATACTTATGTCAGACAGACAGATAGACTTTTTCAAGAACTCAACGCACAAATGTAGGATCACACATCTTACTGATGCCATAATAAAGTATTTCCTCTGACTTTAAGCACACTTTTCGACACAGGGTTAGTGATACCGAAGTAAACTAACGATTGAAGATCAATTAGTTTGACCAGGAGACGACTGCTCGACAAATCATGATAACAAACAAGTAACCAAAGTTCATTGAAACAAGAACGCAACGACCTACTTGGATTTCTTCACCGTCCAATGTCCATAATATAGCAAGATTGGAGCATGAAAGACCTAACACAATTTCATCTAGGTACAAAAACAGAGAAAACAAACAAAAAGGTCCACGCATCTCTGAAGATAAAAATTTAGCTTATTGTATTTAATAACCTAAATAACCTTTTTGAGATCCCATGAACGGTTGTATGTGTGTATGGTCCCCGAATACCCTGGTACAGTGGAGAGAGTACTTTCACTCTCCTGAAATGATCTCAAGTGACCAGGTGTATATAGCCACTGACAAAGAAGTCCTACTCGCTGCCCTCTTGTAGTGAATGTTGCTTACGAAATTGAGAGGATTAAAAGCGAACGTCCAGCGGGGGTTAGGCGGGTGTCGGTGGGTATGGAAGACGTACCCAAGGGAGTTGAAAAACCCTGACTTCAAATCGATGGTGAATATGGGCTCTAATGGCTACATACGCATGGTCAAATGAGAGAAGGAGAGGACTCCCTTCCCCAATGTCGGCCGTACCAGGTTTACCATTTTTTAAACATAAATAATTAGCACCCTAGAAGAAAAAAATAAAAGATGTAAAACTTACAAGTAAAATAAGAACATCTAATCAACTGAATGGTAATACAGTTAATACGAAAACTACAACTACATTTGCATAAATCTAACTTGATTTAAAAGCTAAAGAGAATGTTAGGTTATAAATACATATATACGTACATACAATATACACTGTATACTACCGAGTGTCTAGTTATAATATCATTAACATATAATTAACTAATACAAAACGAGTATGGATCTAAAAATGAAGCCGAGAAAGGTGTAGATTAACAAATAAACAGATTGAACAGAATATTAATCAGATAATACGAGTTAAACAACAATCGTTAGCCTAAGTGTAGGATTCGCGTTTCTAATGTGACGCAACTAATCCACCTCTGGATTATTCTAAGCGGTGAATCTAATATTGTTTTTAATGATTGATATTTTGGTCCTGTCAGTCTTTACTGAATAGTAAGTTAGGTAGTCATAAATTATAAGGAACACATATTACATCGATAAAAGTTACTAAATTACAACAGCACAGTCAAATGAAATTATTAAGATAAATACCAGAGCAATAAGGAACAGTAACAGTATCAATGATAGTAGACATAGATAATGTGAATCGAGAAGAACGGATACATTCATAGAATAAAATGTACCGGACGATTTTAAACCTCAGGACGTGAGAGATAACAAAGAGTGAAAGCATTTACGCAACTCCAACTAATTATGAGATACGCCGCAAGATATCTCCAACCAATTGTTACAATAATCGATCGGGTTAAGAATAATAACCATAGCCATCGCATGATGTGGGCAGCTGGAAAGTAACATCCGCACTCAGCCAGAAAAGCAAACGAGACCAAATTGGTCACAATCAAATTCTTTCTACACCTAATAACTCTCTTATCTACACCAAAAACCCTCCTCACATACCGTTATCACTCCGAACCGCTAATGCAAACGATACGAGTTATTCCTGGTCTCTGGAAACCCAGCTCGAAACTACATATTGCAGCTTTAAATGTTCGTACCTTGTGCCAAATAAGACAACACGCTTCATTAGCGAGGACTCTGAAATCCCATGCAATCGATGTATGTTGAGTCTCCGAAACGCGCATACCACATCCGAGTAAAATCATCAATTTGATTTCACCTTGCGCAGGTACAGAATTATCTCGGTAATAGAGTATTACGTCCTAGGGCAGATCTATCTCTCCTAAACTGGATCCCGTTAGAAAGTCGCTTATGCGCTGTCCGACTGAACGGGACAGTTAGGACTCAGAAAGGAAGGGACACTCACCGTTGCCTCTTCATCCCATCTGCATAAAGACAGACAGATACAACGCAGAACTTCGTACGTAAGTACATCAGTTCAGGTTGCCATACCACATCACCACACAGACGCAACTGTCAGTTCAAATCCAAAAGTGATAGTGATAGTAGAAGTATTAGCAGTAGAGGAGAAGATTAGGGAGCGAAGATATGATTCGAAAAGTATAATTCAGTAAGATAAATTTAGAAGAAGTAAGGTAGAGATTATGAGGAATTCAGAAGGTTAGAATTTGAGAAAACACAAACCGTGGATGCATCTGCGCCATTGCAAACGATTCTGAGCCATGTCGTTCAAGGTGTTAAACCATTGGTGACTATCGTCTCGCATACCCCAACCAGGTAGCATACATCTACCAACATGACTCAGTTAACTTGTCAGTGAATTCATGGATTTCCGCTATGTTTTGATTTGGCCGCCCATAGCATTCGTCCAACCTACTCCAACACTGCAAAACATAGCTCGTCGAGGCAGTCGATGGTTAGCTATACGTAACAAATGTCCCAACCACCTCAACTGATGAAGTTTCAATACTTCATCTATTGATTTACCGTCCATACCTAGAACTCGTTTCCTAACGACAGAATAACTTATACGGTTGTCTCAGGATACACGAGCAATGATCCGGAGACATCGATGATCGAAAACCAGTAACCTACGAAAGTCCTCGACTCTTGACGGCCATGTTTCGCATCCGGACAGTAGGACAGAGCGAACTGATGCACAGTACACTCGTCCTTTGGATATCACGCCTGCGCCATAAGTGACACTTGTAGGCAAAAGCCAATCGAGCCTTCTGTATCCGAGCTGAGATTTCCTCAGTCACCAGGCCATCTGCACTGATCAGACTCCCAAGATAAGTGAAGCGGTTGACACGCCCGACTACTTCACTCTCTATCACTAGTTCAGGTGCCGATGCAACCCAGTCTTGAAGCAACATTTTGCATTTCGAGGAGGAAAACCGCATACCGAATATGCATGCATTGTTGCTTAGGGTAGCCAGAAGACTACCCTAAGGCTACCCTAAGCAACAATGCATGCATGTTCGGGATGCGATTCTCACCCTCGAAATGCAAAATTTTGCTTCAGGATTGACTTGCATCAGCACCTGAACTAGTGATAGGAAGTGAACTAGTCGAACGTGTAGACCACTTCACTTATCTCAGGAATCTCATTAGTGTTGATGGCCTGGTGACTGACGAAATCTCAGCATGGATACAGAAGGCTCGATTGGCTTTTGCCAACCTGCGTCACTTATGGCGTAGGCGTGATATCCTTTTGCTGACTGAAGGACGAGTGTACTGTGCAGCAGTTCGCTCCGTCCTACTTTATGACTGTTAAACGTGGCCAGTAAGTGTAGAAGATATTCGCAGGTTACTGGTTTTCAATTATAGGTGTCTTCGAAGCATTGCTCGTGTATCCTGGGACAACCGAGTAAGCAATGGAGTCGCTAGGAAACAGGTGCTAGGTAAGGATGTGAGGTCAATAGATGAAGTATTGAAACTTCATCAGTTGAGGTGGTTGGGACATGTGTTACTAATGCCCAAACACTGACTGCCTCGTCGAGCTATATTTTGCGATGTAGGAATAGGTTGGACGAATGCTATGGGCGGCCAAACAAAAAACATGGCAGAAATCCATGAAGTCATCGATAGAAAAATAATTCATGATAGTGTGATAACTTACAAAGACAACTAATAATAACAATAAGAACAAGAACTTACTTCGTTGATTTGGATGTGTCACAACAACAAATGAAGATATCCAATCCGGTTGTGAATTTGAAGCTAGAGTGAATAGAACAGCCAGTGAAGTAGCATGCAATACAATTATATGTGCATATTGACCACAACAAAATAGTAGACGATAGTCAAGGTAACATGTTTGATGTGACTGTGAAAATTAAAAGAGGATCAACACAAAAATAATTGAAAATTTTCTGCACAGAAGAATAATAGTTAATTGTCTTATATTAGTGAGCAAGATAAAACTCCTGTTTTAATTTGATTTTTAATCCATACCATCAGCAACTATATAGAAGCTTAGGACTTAATGAAAGATAAAGAATTAGTACATGCGATCTATTATACGCTACAAAATGAAACGCCTGTCGACACTTCGCGGCTACTGCCGGTCCAGAGCCCCGATAAAACAAGACGGTTGAGATGTGAGTTGGCGACCCATCCCCGAAAAAACTAACTTCCCAAAAAAACGCTAACAAGAAAGGATAATTCAAACCAAATAAAATCTGCCCTGGGAATTAGGTCTTCATTTAGGATAATTATGAAAGCCGAGTTCCTTCGGAAGTCATGGGGCAGAAGCCCCTTCTGACAAACAAAACCCTTCCACGGTGTGGGCATCCGGGAAGGGGATATCCACCCTCATACCCATAGAAGTAAACCAGACCAAATTGGCCACAATCAAATCCTCTCTACACCTAATAACTCTCTTATCTCCTCGACCAACTCTTCCTTCAATCGCTCATCACCTTGCGCCACTGAAGCGAACAGTTTGAGCTCACGAAACGTTATTCCTCATCGCTCGAAACCCCGCACTAAACAACATATTGCAGCTTTTAATGTTCGGAACCTATGCCAAATAGGACAACAGACTTCGTTAGCTAGAACTCTGGAATCTCGTGCGATCGATGTATGTTGTGTCTTCGAAACGCGCATACAGGATCCGAGTAAAATCATCAATTTCATTGCACCTAGTGCAGATAGAGACAAAACATGTTTTACACATCGTGTTTCAAGTAGCCGTGATGCTGCCTCCCGGGGCCTCGCCGGCGTAGAGATAGTATTATGTCGTCTGACAACAGATGTGTTCCTAGACCTTAAATCGGAATTTGACTCTGTCGATCATGAGGTTCTCTCAACTCGAACACTGGTCGAGTTAGAGCTTATGACGAACTGTCGTCGGAATACTGCACTTCAAGTGGTGCCCATCAGGGATGTCAACTTTCTCCATTTTTGTTTAATTTTGTTATCGACTTGCTTTTAGAGTTAACATTATCTTCGTCTGAGCTTTCAGGAGGTGGAACTTCTACCAGAGGACTCACTTGTCGACTTAGAATATGCCGATGACATAGTTCTATTTGGTGAAGACGCTGACAAAATGCAAAGTCTTCTGGCTACCGTAAGCAACAATGCATGCATGTTCGGGATGCGATTCTCACCCTCGAAATGCAAAATTTTGCTTCAGGATTGACTTGCATCAGCACCTGAACTAGTGATAGGAAGTGAACTAGTCGAACGTGATGACCGCTTTACTTATCTCAGGAATCTCATTAGTGTTGATGGCCTGGTGACTGACGAAATCTCAGCATGGATACAGAAAGCTCGATCGACTTTTGCCAACTTGCGTCACTTATGTCGTAGGCAAGATATCTGTTTGCTGACTAAAGGACGAGTGTACTGTGCAGCAGTTCGCTCCGTCCTACTTTATGACTGTTAAACGTGGCCAGTAAGTGTAGAAGATATTCGCAGGTTACTGGTTTTCAATTATAGGTGTCTTCGAAGCATTGCTCGTGTATCCTGGGACAACCGAGTAAGCAATGGAGTCGCTAGGAAACAGGTGCTAGGTAAGGATGTGAGGTCAATAGATGAAGTATTGAAACTTCATCAGTTGAGGTGGTTGGGACATGTGTTACTAATGCCCAAACACTGACTGCCTCATCGAGCTATATTTTGCGGTGTAGGAATAGGTTGGACGAATGCTATGGGCGGCCAAACCAAAACATGGCAGAAGTCCATGAAGTCACTGACAAGTGAACTGAGTCATGTCGGTAGGTGTTGACTACCTGGTTGGTACGCGTGAATGATAATAGTCGATGGTTAGATACCGTGAATGAGATGGCCCAAAACCGTTTCCAATGGCTCAGTTGCATGCATTCTTTGCGTTCTTTCATATCCTAACCTTCTTAATTCCTCATCACTTTACCGTATTCTTTTAAGTTTAAATAAGTTGATTCTACTTCTTGAACAATATTCTTAAACCGTAATCTCTCTTGATTTTTTAATTCAACACTGAATGTGTTAATGATGCCTACTATGATCAGTTAGTATTTATCTGTCAACTCGGCGCAGACAAACAGTCGATAACTTCATGGACTTATGTTACGTTGGTTTGGCCACTACTTCCTCTTTCATAACTACTTATCAGACAAGGAAAGAAGTGGTTAGACATATGTTCTAACCATTCTACTACTTTGTTGACCGATTAAGCACTTAATGATTATTATGGTTACTAACGAATGGCTTTATTCATTATCGTATGTTTAGTGTAGTATGGCGTTTTCAACTCAACACAGAACAGTATTGTTTATCTAATGCTTTCAACATACGCGAGCAACAAAAAGGCCGTGCGTGACCAACAAAAAGGCCATGCCTGACCGGACTCAAGCATTTGCCACCTGGGCTCTGCGGTCACGCACCAACACTAATCTATCTTACTTTTCAGGTCCTTCTTGAAACAACCTTCCACGGCGTGGGCAGCCGGAAAGTGACAACCGCCCTCATACCGGTAACAGCACACGAGACCAAATTGGTCGAAATCAAATCTTTCCTACACCCACACACACCTTTCTTCTCTCCACAACGAACTATACTCACGGTCCCTTTTTCTCATTGCACCGCTAATGCAGACGAAGCGAGTTCACGAAACGTCATTCCTGGTCTCTTGAAAGCCCGCTCTAGACTACATGTTGGAGCTTTTAATGTACGGACATTGTGTCGAATAGGGCAACAGGCTTCCTTACCTAGGACTTTAGAATCTCGTGCCATCGATGTATTCTGTGTCTCGGAAACGCGCATACAGGATCCTAGTAAAGTCATTAACCTGATTTCACCTTGTCAAAATAAAGAAGATGCTAGATTTACTATTCGTGTATCTGGAAGCCCTGATGTTGCTTCCAGAGGTCTTGCTGGCGTAGGCATAGCATTGAGTCGTAGAGCTGAACAATCTCTCCTAGATCGTATCCCAGTAGATAGTCGTTTGTGCGCTGTCCGACTAAACGGGACAGTAAGGACTCGGAAGGATAGCGACACTCACCGTTGCCTCTTCGTCATATCTGCCTATGCCCCCATTGACTGAAATTCAGACGAGGTTAAAGATGAGTTTTACAGAAAACTTTCAGACCTCCTCCAAAAAGCTAGGTGCTCTGATATAGTAATAATGGCTCAAGTAGGTAGACTGAATGAAAATGAAAGACAGGATGTTATGGTGTCGCGGCTAAGAGAACAGACAATGGAGACCGTCTGTTGCAACTATGCTCAGATAACCGCCTATTCTTAGCGAACACTAACTTTAGGCATAAGGAAAAGCATCTTTTGACCTGGCGACCCCCTAAGTCGTCTCAACGTTGGACTCAACTAGATCACATCGCCATCAGCCACCGATGGAGGGGTTTGATAGAGGCCTGCCGCTCGTTCTGGGGCACATGTTTAGATTCAGATCATGCTCTAGTGCGAGCTCGTATATGTTTGAGGCTTACTGGGCGTAGGAAAGACACCGTAAGAAAGCCTCTTAGGGTTTTACTTAATGATAATCAAACTAAGAAAATATTTCAGGAGCAACTAGAAAGAGAGTTAAGCAACCATGTAAGCGATTCTCATCCAGAAGCAGGTTAGTATGATATCAAGAAGGCTGTGGAAACAGCAGTGATAACTGCTAGTAAGGTAAACCATAAGGCTAGGATAAAGCTGTGGATCTCAATAGCATCCACCGAACTGATGGATGCTCAGAAACTCATCCCACCTGGCTCTGAGGGCGATGAGGAGCGGAATCAGCTTAGACGTAGGCTGACAGAAAGCCTACGCAACAGTTACAACTTTTCCGCCTTATCAAAGAAACCGGTACCAGGAACCCGAATGTGAGTGAGACTTTTTCGGAAAAGGATGGTCTTATTATCCATCCTCAACCCAGGAGACTGGACTGATGGGCAGTACACTTTACGGATCAGTTTAACTGGCCTCGAGCCACTCTTCGGTTACTCACGATCTCCAGTCATCCTGAATGGCAAATCGACGTAAGTGCCCCTAGGCTTTACGAAGTTGAGAAAGCGTTACTAAATCTTAAGCGAGGGCGAGCTGCAGGTCCTGATATACTGACCCCTGAGATATTTAAGGATGGTGGTCCAGTTTCAGCAGCTAGGTTGACTGAGAACTTAGGTACAATCTGAGAACTGGACGTAATCCCATCCGACTGGACTCAATCACTGATTGTCCCAATTTATAAGAAAGGACAAAAGTCTTCTTGTGACAATCACAGGAGTATCAGTCTAACTAATATAGTCTCTAAGTTGTTAGCCTCGATTATACTTAGACGCCCAACTATAGCTCGTGAAGAGCAGGCTCGAGAAAACCAGTCTGGTTTTCGACCAGGACGTGGTTGTATAGACTACATCTTCACAATACGACAGGTCGTGGAACACAGACACATTTAGTCGTCCGACAATAGTTGTCTTCCTGGACCTCAAGGAGGCATTTGACTCAGTGGACCGTGAGAGTGTGTGTCAGTGTCTGTCATTGAAAGGTGTACCAAAGGAGTACATTAACCTTATACAAGCTCTTTACTCTAAAATTACTGGTTGGGTGAGAGCTTATGGCGAACTGTCACCGGAATTCTTTACTTCAAGTGGTGTCCAGGGGTGTCCACTCTCTCCATTCTTGTTTAATTTTATCATAGACATGCTCCTAGATATAACCCTATCCTCGTCTGAATTTTCAGGAGTACACCTTTAACCAGGTGGCTCGCTTATTGACTTAGAATATGCCGATGACATAGTCCTACTTGGTGAAGACGCTGACAAAATGCAAAGTCTTCTGGCTACCCTAAGCAACAATCCATGCATATTCGGTATGCGGTTTTCCTCCTCGAAATGCAAAATGTTGCTTCAAGATTGTGTTTCGTTGGCACCTGAACTAGGGATAGGGAGTGAAGTAGTTGAGCGTGTCGACCGCTTCACTTATCTTGGGAGTCTGATCAGCGCTGATGGCCTGGTGACTGACGACATCTCAGCATGGATACAGAAAGCTCGATTGGATTTCGCCTACCTGTGTCACCTATGGTACAGGCGAGATATCCGTTTGCTGACTAAAGGACGAGTGTACTGCGCAGTAGTTCGCTGCGTCTTACCTCATGGCTGTGAAACATGGTCAGATAGTGTAGAAGATATTCGTAGGTTACTGGTTTTCGATCATCGATGTCTTCGAAGCGTTGGTCGTGTATCCTGGGACACCCGAGTGACTTCCAGAATGGCAGATCAATAGATGAAGTGGTGAAACTTCATCAGTTGAGGTGGTTGGAACATGTGTTGCGAATGCCTAACCACCGACTGCCTCGACGAGCTATGTTTTGTAGTGTAGGAATAGGTTGGAAGAGAGCTAGGGGCGGCCAGACCAAAACATGGCAGAAATCCATGAAGTCATTGTCAAGTGAACTGAGCCATGTCGGTTATTGTCGACTACCCGGTTGGGGTCCGCGAGATGATAATAATCGATGGTTAGAGACCCTGAATGACATGGCTCAAAATCGTTCGCAATGGCGCCGGTGCATTTATTCTTTGTATTCTCTCAAATCCTAATCTTCTGGATTCTTCAACACCTCTAGTTTTGACTTTCTAAACTTTTCTCATCGAATCATACTTCTTGAATAATATCTTCTAATCCCAACCTCTCCGATTACTTCTAATACCTTTACCACCTCTTCTACTATTGGATTTGAATTGACAATTACATCTCTGTGCTGATGTGGTATGGCAACATGAACTGATGTACTTACGTACGAAGTTCTACGTTGCATCTGACTGACTGACTGGCATACGCGAGCAGTATTCGTTAGTTATCTATGACCAAATACTAGTAATCGATGAATACTCGTCATCTTTAAAATCCACTTTTCACAGTCGTAAAACAGAACAGAACAAACAGCTTCACGCTATATTTGTCTTTTGGTTGAGAGACAAATACCTCACCTACACCACATATGACGCAAGTTGTCAAAAGCCAAGTAGTATCTTTAGCTTTAAATAAACAGGTTAGTACTTGGACCTTTAGTGGCAGTTACAAGTAGGTTAGAGAAGCAAACAAAAATAGTAACTCACTGAAAATTATGAGAAATAAGGAAACAATTACCAATAGTATAACAAATGAATGAAAAAAAAACGACACACACTTTGATGTATGTATGCCGATAACGTGTGTCCATTTTGAATTCTAAGCATTTGCCGTCATTCCAATTCCAAACAGCCATTTCACTAAAATAGTAGAGTATTACCATAAGAACAGTTATCAGAGGAAATTAAATATACAATTTAGATTCAGTAGTCAAGATCAACCAAATTATCCTAGCAATCATTTGGTAGATGAATAGTTCATTCATCGGTGAATGAAACAGTCATTTATAAAATCGTAGAGCTTTGGTTCCATGATCTGATCACGATGCAAAATCCTGGTTAATCTACGGTGATCTTTAGATTAAAGCATTTTTACTGGGTGTCACGTTACAGTTGTATCATACGTGCAGGCAAATCAACGTGTGCGCTGTTGTTAACTATATAGGGAAAACTGAAGAGTTAAAGTAAACAATCTTTACACAACTGATTCTTAAAATGCATTCATGACAAAATTGAATTTTAAATGGTGATCAACTTGCCTTACAATGACAATCAAAATACTTCATATTTTTTATGATAGTAAATACACGCATGAAATTCCATATTTTTTAAAACAGTAAAGTTAATTTATTTACCTAATATTATGTTTGAGAAAAATTAGCCCTTTGATGCCCATACATGAGCAACAATTTTAGGAGCAAAGCTATAACTATGGATTTGTATGTCGATGTTACACAGCCTGTAACAGACCGATGAAAATATAAATATGGAACAAAAACCATGAAAATGAGTTACCTCAAACCAACTTAAAGTTGGCATATCGACTAGAAAAACCCGTGATTTGAGGTTCGACCCAACGAAAATTTGTAAAAATTTTAAAAACCGTCCAAGCTATTTGAATCAGTTACGAAGTCATACTGTAGTTTTCAGAAACGATACAACAAAGGATCAAGCTGCATGGGAGTATATGACAGTGGAACTTCGTAACGCCTTAAGAGAACGGATGCACGAAGTGACAAGTTGAAGTAGTTTACACGCCATGTAAGCATTAAAAAGGGTTACCCAAGAAAAGCATTAAATTATTCGAAAATAGTGACATTCAGAAGTCACTGTAAAAACCCATTTTTAATGTCTAGCTCTAACATGACATTATCAAGTTCTGTCAACTTATATCCAAACGGATTCATGGAATTGCAAGTAATTAAATTCTCAATTGTTTTATTTGAAACCCGATGATTGTGTCTATTTCCATTAACAAACGTCAGCATAAAAACCAATAAACTGATGGAAGTACATTTCACAGAACGCAAAAGCAAAGAATATTTCATATTAATTTCAAACAAATTTCAAAAACAGATGGTGATTTACAAGAAGCCTTATAGTTTCACAGATTGCTACATGATCGCCAAGGCTATACGATAAGTTTGGGTTGGTGAAGATGACCCAAAAAGAACGAAAATAATTGTTCGTCATCTAGTTTCTGAATAAGGAGGACCGTTCGGACACACCAACTATTTCTGGACCTGTTAGATCATTTTCTATACTTCCTGTCCTTGGACTAGGGTCAAATGTTAGATGTGTTAAAATCCTGGAACCTAGATATGATGTTAGTAAAATGCAATTTGCCGTGATAAATGAGTGATTTCTTCATTTGTTAAGAAATAAACAATTGACAACTAATGTAATATGTTGAAAATATTAACCGTCGATTAAATCGTGTACATGCATCCTACACTTAGTACCGTAATAAAACATGGTTGTGCTTGATAATATAATTTTAACATATGGTTTAAACTAAGATTTCAGCTTCAATACGTGGACATCAGTCAGACTTAAAGTAGTGAAACCTCAAACTGAACCAAAAAATCTCGGATGTTATGATAAAATCCATATTTGTCTTAGAAACCGTCCGCTGACTTCTCGGAACAAATCAATCGAAGTATTTAAACAATCTTCTAGCAATAACTTACCCACTGATTGAATAGCTGAAGAAAAATTTATTGCCAGTCATAGGCGATCTTCCTGCAATGCACAAATTAGAAACCAGGGACTTGTGTCCAGTGAGCATCCACTTTGGGGAACATGAGCAGGAATTTCCGAGGCTCCAAAGGATAACGTTACCATCCGCTGACCCCGTGGCGACAGTATCTCCATCTTCAGATAACAAAATAGATGTTATTTGATGATCAGGTGGAGTATTTGCCCATGTGACAAAAGGTATTACAGTGTTCCCACTTATTCTGATCATTCTTATCCACAAGAATAACAAAAATAGTGTAGATCACAAACCAGACGACAAACGTGTCGTCAGCATTCCACTACCGCGCTGCCATAAGTGGCCTTGCCCAATATCCAATATTCTTTTCAAGAGCTACTACAGATCAGTTGAATGATAAGGGGAAAATTTTATTGCTAATAAGAAGACGATTTTAGGAACAAGTAAATAAATGGATAATTAAGTTTATTAATTCGCAGCGAAGATTGTGAAAGAGCACAGAAGTGTAAGCATTGAAGAGGAAACAGAGATCCAATATCCAATATCTTTTTCATGAGCTAGTGTAAACCAATTGATTTCTTTGCGCTCGATTCTTATTCTTTCGGCACGATTACAGGTGTTCGTTAATGTCCAATGGATGGGGGTCTAGCCACTCGACGGTCTAATTCTAGTGACTTGGCAGTTGGTTGTGAGTTTGTATGTTTCGGGATTTGAATGAATACGTTTGTTTCAGGGCAGTAGGGTTTCTGGTTAGCAGCAGTCATATGTGGAGAGTAGTAAGGATAATAAGGTTAAAGTTCTAATGCTAATATGAATAAAATTTCGGAACTGAGTAATATATAGATGAATTTAGTTTGTTAATTGGTAGAGAAGATTGTGAGAGATGACCATAGTGTAAGCAAGGTGAAGAGAACAGAGATGAGAGGCGAGAGAGATTAAGTAGGTGATCTGAGGAGATGGCAATTATAACAACTAGCATGTGTAAAGATATGCATCATGAACAGCTTGACCAAGAGGGAGATGATAGTCGGTGTGTGAGTACGTGATTATCAAGTCTCTTCCTAAAGCTGTCTACTGAGGGGGCTGTGGTCACCTCGGCTGGGAGGGCTTTACAAGTTGCGACGACTCGCAATTATAAAAAGTGTGCAGGGATCTGAGTATTCGCTCTTTGATATGCAATCTTTCGAAGATTGCCTCGAGGGAAGTGGTAGTGATGCATCGGTAAGATGCTCACGTTGAGATGGTTTGGCGTACTTAATATGTTGTACGCCATAATCAGATCACCTCTGATTCTCCTGTAGCTCAGTGGGAATAATACCAAGAGCTGGAGTCTATCGTCGTAAGGTTTATTTTTCAACCATATCACCCATTTGGTTGCTGCACTCTGCACTCGATCCAAGGGATTTATGTCTCTTTTAAGCAGAGGGGGCGCGATGATATTATGAACCTCCAAGTGTGGGCGCGCGTACGTCTTAAATAGGGTCAAAAATAATTGCGGGGTGAAAGCACCAAGTTGTCTTTGCATAAAGTGAAGAGTTGCATTTGCCTTGGCTGCGTCCCATACATAGTTCGGACTTGTGTGGAGGCTTTCTGTGGTTATTAAACCGAGATCGCACTCCGAGGAGACATTAGGGAGCAGACTTCCATTGAGGGTATAGATCGTTTGCGCCGCGTGAGGCAGAATACGCATGACGGGGCTCTTTGGTTGGTTGAATTTTAAACCGTTTTTCACTGCCCATTTCTCAATAGATGTAAGATTCTTTTGAAGCTCAGTCGAATCCTCTACGATTCTAATGGATCTCGAGATCTTCGCATCTTCTGCGTAAATCAATCCTAGTGAGCTGACTAAGCCTAACAGATCGTTAACAAATATCAGGAAGAGAAGTGGGTCTACGATGGTCCCACTGGCGGTCACTTGGGCTGGGAGAGCATTCCAAGTTGTAACGACTCTTAATGAGAAACAGTGTGCACAAACCTGACCGTCCGCTCCTTGATGTCCAATTTTTTGAAGATTACCTTGAGAGGACTGGTGGTGATGCATCGGTAAGATGCTCTCGTTTGGATGATTTGGCTTGTATAATATGTTGTACTCCATAATCAGATCACCTTTGATTTTTCTGTAATTTAGGAGGAATGGTTCAAAATACTGGAGTCTATATTCGTAAGTTTTATTTTTCAACCCTATGATCACGCTGTGAACCTAAAGGTGTGGGAGTGCATACGCAACATTAAGAACAATTTCTTCTTCTTAACGAGCTTGATTATGTTGAGTGGTATAAACAAAACTGAATAATCCTCCTCCAGGTGTGAGTATATTAGTATATCATAGTGAAATGCTGTCTCCAGTCCTTAGCAATATTTACATTTCTCCTTAAAGGACTACTGAGAAGTCAGTTGGACCACCACAGCCTCAGAAAACTCCAGACTTATGCGAATTTTAAGAGTACAAGTTGTGTCTTCAATCCATTTCGCAATGTTCCGCCCCTAGTTTCTGGGTATTTTCCCCAAGGTTACCGTAGAGCATGAACCTCAAGTGCTTGGAATACTATAAGTGATATGGTTACCTCATAGCTATGTGACCGGTTCTGGAGCTCATCGGAGTTACACGAAATTTCATATGAATGGGGTCGAATTAGTCCCATTCCAATCTTCGAAGGAGAAGACAGAAAAAATCCAGCCTTCTACTGACCAGTTTCACGGTTTCAGGAAAGACCGGTCCTACGCATTCAACTTGCCAACCTGCTGTCACCAAAAAGTACCCGTTCACGAAATGTTACAGCTCTAATCATTAGTACGTTGTGACCAATTTGTGGGTTCTTTGGCGTATAGTTTGAGTGATGAATCACTCGGCTCGTGTGTCGGCTAAGAAGATAACCAACTGTATGAATTAACGCGAACTACATTCTGTTTTGAACATACATATCGTGAACGCACATAGCGGCTATGAGATATCCTGAGGCCACGCCTGGCTGAAGGTCGGATTTCAATTTATTACGACCCACTTTAAGCCGTGAATTGGATTAGAGTCTGCCGGTGTGTATATTCATAAATCAGCGCGAGTTGCTGGTCAAAGGTTCCTTACTGATAATGTTGCCACACCCTAATCCAGTCTGGCAAACCAGATTAAGACTCTACGGTGGGTTCTTCTCGAGTAGCAGCTTAACTGTATTATACGTACTCTAAGCAAACACACAGTATGCTGTGCTAATTACTGGATATTTACTCTACTATTTGGTCTATGGTTAGTATTAATGGTGTGTGTATATACTGCGCACCGATCATATAAATAACCCTGACCTCCAGTCAGACGCAATTTATTGTTGAACTTAAGCACATCAGTAAGCGAAGGGAAATAAACTGATGAGGTTCCCCCAGTGACCTTGAGTAGACAGTGACTGGCCCAGCACATAACTTACTTACTACTCTTACCCATAATAGAGCTAAGGCCACCGACCAGCGTTCGTTAACCTACTCCGTCCTGGGCCTTGTTCTTCAGTTCTACCCAATAGTTGTTCATTCCTTCCATGTCTGGTTCCGATTTCATACGTAATACGCCAACTGGTCATCCTCTTTCCCTTTGCCCGTAAGTATTTCTAAAGGATGCTCGTCTTGTCCTGACCACCTACAGCATTTTTCCCTAATTACTTTCTCTGCTAAAATCCGGTTCGATTTCTCCCACAGTAGGTTGTTGCTGATAAAGTCTGGCTAACAGATACGAAGTATCTTGAGCAAGCAACTGTTGATGAACACTTGTGTCTTCCAGATGACGGCTTTGTGATTCTTCGACTTTCTGCCTCTCAGTAAAACTGTCTTGAAGTCTGCACTGAAAATTGTGAAGTTGGCATTAGTTGATATTTGTCTAGATTTGGAGATGTTCTTCAGATGAATAAATTATGAAATTGTTCTGCCAATGCTTGCCTTCACATCTGCGTTGAATCCACCATGTAAATAAATGCTGCTTCTCAGATATGTAGAGGTTTTCTTATCTTCTAAGATTTCTGTATTTAGTGTGAGTTGGTTGGCACATGGTGTGTTGTATCAGGTGGTCCTGATTTTCCCGTCACGGATGTTGAGTGAGGCCTACTGCTGCAGAGGCTGTTGCTACACTGGTCGTCTTCTGAATTTATTATTGTGTGTGAAACAGAAGTGTTACGTCCAGTTTTTTGCTCGTTGATCTTACGAAGCACGGTTGTCGACTATTTGTAATTCACGGTCCCAAATTTCTAAACCAAGAACGAAACTCCAAAGTAGATACCAAAGTTTATTCCAAATCACAAATTCGACCAAAATACTTTATTACAAATAGACGACCAATGTCGTTCTAACAACAATAATTATAATAATTACAATTACCTTCTAATTTATTATCTCTCGGAGCAAAAAACTGCAACGAACAACAAAGAGAAACGGGAGTCCAATATGTCCGCAAATAATAATTCAAACAAGTTCATAAGTTAAGTAAAACAAATATACCCAAAAAACAGTGAAATTAATGATTATATATATATAAAGGTTTGATCAGCAAAATGTCTTCGTTTCTCCCGTAACACTCCCGACCAAAAGAACCTTGGTTCTTTTCACCGACAAAATATATAACAACAATCCAAGTATGTGCATCACAAGCAATCAACAACAAACATTCAATATAAATTCTACACCGGCCCACAATATCCCTCTAAGCAAAACAAGCCCTTTCTAACACTTCAATTTACGGTTCATTCTCATCCCCTAATCCACACCGGAAGAACGAGTAGGACTTACAGCAGTACGCCTACCCGCCCTCCAACATGGATATGACCTATCAAACTATGAACCTGTACATTCCCATCAGGTCCTTGATTCCCCTATCTATCGTAGCATGACCTAACGGTAGTATAAACCTTATCCAATTCACCCACACGAACATGTGCAACACGTCGTAAAGCTGGTCATATCCTCTTAGAGATTTACTTTCCACCTCATGGGGATGAGTCGTTAATCCACCAACCATTGCTCCAAACAGCAGATACGATGAAGCCCGTGATGCTGACTTATCAACAGAAGTTCTTGACCCATAGATAATGTGCAAGGGCGGGATCTCCGATTTTGACGTTTCCTCGTCTCCCGAAGACTCTAGGTGGCATAACATAGGAACAATATTCAACTCTCCATCTCCTGGTACAGAGGTTTGATCAGCATTCGTCAACGTCGACAAATCATTTGTCACATCAGTGACATCCAGATTATTATCATCGTCATTATGATTCCGTTCTGTCAGACAAGTCGCGTCGATTCGGTCTGCATTAGCATCCGTCCCAGAGACACAAGACATATGCTCATCAATAGCATCGT